GGTTCTCCGTCTTGGCTGCGTGGAGGCCCGGCTTGAGGCCACATTGGGGCAATCCGGAAACCTCCTGGGGCCTCCTTGAAGCAATTTTGATGAATCGAGATCACTGTTCGGCTATCTTGGGGCCCCATGTACGTCTCCTGTGAGCCTTTTGGGGCCTGGTGGGGGGCTTTGGGGGGCCTCGTCGGACCACTTGGGGTCTCTTGGGGCCTCCTGTGGGCCTCTCAGGGCGGAAAACTCTTCTGTTGGGTTTGCGTTCCCCTTCTTGGGGCTCTCTTGGAGCCCTCTTGGGGCCCTCCTGGCGCCTCGGGCACCGTCTTGGAGCCCCCAGGGGCCGTCTTGGGGCCCTCTTGGAGGCCTCTTCGGCTATCTTGGAGCGGCCGTGGGGACCACTTGGGCCGTCTTGGAGCGTCGGGATGCCAAAAGGCTGGGAACTCTAAAATCCATCAAAAGCCGATGGGAAAACACAATGCTTCTCGGAACCTCTTCGGCCTTCTGGGGAGCTTCTTGAGGGCCTCTTGGGTCCCATTTGGGGGCCTCTGGGGCTTCCTGAAAGCCTCTCGGGGTGGAAGGCTTGGATTTTCGGTTCGTCTTACCCCTCTTAGGCCCCCCTTGGGGCCGTATTGGTGCCCTCTCAGGCTGTCTTGGGCCCTGTTGGAGGCCTCTTGGGCTATCTTGCATCGGTCTTGGAGGCCTTTTGGGCCGTCTTCGAGCGTCAGGACGCCAAAAGGCTGAAAACTCTAACATCAATCAAAAATCTATGGCAAAACATGGACTTTTGCTTCTTGGGGCCTTCGTAGGAGGCCTCTTGGATAATCTTCGGCCTCCTGGGGGAGCTTCTTGGGGCCTCTTGGAGCCTGTTAGGGGCTTCTCGGGGCATCCTGAGAGCCTCTCGGGGTGGAAGACTCGGATTTTCGGTTCGTGTCAACCCTCTTGGCTCCAGTCTTGGGGCCCTCTCGGGCCGCCTTGGGCGCCTCTGGCGCCGTCTTGGGACCCCCGTGGGCTGTCTTGTGACCGTCTTCGAGGCCTCTGGGGATGCCTTGGAGCAGAAACTAAAGCCTCTTGGGCCGTCGTGGAGCGTCCGGAAACTCAAAAGACGAGAACTCGAAAATCGATCAAAAACCAAAGGAAAACAAATTAGTTGTGCCTCCTGGGGC